TTCAAAATGTTAGAACAGCAAAGTAAACATTAAAGAAAATAAAGATTTACGGAAGTAGTTCCCTTTAGTTTAGAGAGAGAAAGAAAGAGATAGATTACATCAAATCGTCTGAACTCATGATTGCCATCTTCAATTTAGATTTCTTTGTGCACCTCAGTTATGGTACAAAAAAAGAAATGGTCATTTATCTCCATGTGGCCTGCTCCTATAACAGTGCCCAGCTTTATTGTGTCATGTGGTCCATTAGTTTGAGTGCAGTTCCTTGTAAATAGAGACTTTGAGCCTGAATCATCCAACAGTTTTATAAAACAACTTCAGTGCAGGTTCTTCTACCGGCTGCTTATGCAAGAGGACTGTTGTCTAAATAATATAAAAGCCAGACATTTCTCTGGAAAAATGTACCTAACAGCCTGTCCTGAAACTGCTCCATTATCTGTGTGGTGACTGTTTCACCTTGAGGCCGGAAATTTGTTTTTACAGTCGAGAGGTTCAGGAAACAAGAATTTCAAAGGAGGGTGTCAGACCCCTGTGGGTCTGGAACTACTGAATTAAAATCATGTATTGTTTCACAGCAAAACTCTTTGTTTAAATAAATGTCTTAGTTTTATACATAATTGGTAGTTAGTGCATCAAAATGCAGTGTGTTTTTTCATTATATCGGTTGAGGTCAGTAAATTGTGTGGCGCTCAGTGAAATTGGAGGCTAATGCTCGAAAATTTCTTTTTTTAAAGTATCAACGAGTGGAGCTAATTCCAGAATTGCATCTGCAAGAAAACAACAGTTTAATAAAATGTCTTTCAGTCCATTAGCCATTGTACTTGTTTTCAGCATTAAGTAACAATGTCTTCCTTATAAAGAGAAATGGGAACATTGCATGCACGGATTAAGTATTGCATTGTTGCTCAGGGGAGGCCGCAGGGACAGACAGACGGCCGACAGCGTGTCTGTGTCTCAGTCCCAAATATGGTTCAAGTCACCTCAGTGACTGGAAATTCAAGGTTTAAAGGCTTTTTGAGCTCAACTTGATTTTCAAGTCAAGTCAATCAAGAAAAAACTACTGCCCTCTGATGGGGTAATAACAATTAGAATTTAGTGAAATTGGTAGATTTAGTTTTGAAATACTCATCACTAGCTCATTGTGTATCTGACTGATGGATGGATCTTAGTCCTGTGTGTGATTAGTGCTCAAAACAAATGTTTTTATAACACAAAAATGCTGCCTTAATGTGGTTGAAGTATTTTTTATATTCTTACTGGTCAGTTAATTAACCATTTTTATACTCAATTGAAGTTGGAAACACTGCTTATCTGCTGTTGCACCTATTTAATATATATCCAGCATGAACCCTATGTTGTCAGTGTAAAGTACAAAAGAAATTGTTTATTTTTGTACAAATTCTTTGGACACAGTGTTAAGGTTGGTGCTTTTTATGCAGGCTTTTAAAATGTTTCAGTAGAATTCAATTTCCGTTACAACCTCCCACATTTTAGTCAAGGTTAAAGTTTTAAATCCACCAGTGCACATTTGTTGTAGACTGACTGTAGATAAGATGTGAACAAAAACACTTCCCTTATTTCAACACAAACCTTTTTTTTTTCCTTGATAGAAAGACACGTCACCCTCTTATTTATCTGACCTGATGCTCTCTTCCATCCCACCACCTAATTAAAACTCCTTGGTTGTTGAAGGCCAATAATTGGGGGTGGGGGAGGAGTCTAAAGACCAAAGATCATTGTCTAATAGTGAAAGTTTGCATTTACTAATGTGCTGCGCTTGAGTGACAGGACACAGTAATGTAAGTGGACTGTAATGGTGATAATACCTTGTCTTATTGACCGTAGCAAGTGCAGTCTTTAACTCAATAACACTCACAGGATCCTGCCTCTCAGATGGCTGTAAAGAATTTATGTCTTTGGAACCTGAGGGGATCTTTTAAAAAAAACAAAAAATAAATAACAGACAGAATCACTCAGAGGTGTTGCCCTTAGTTACTATTTAAGCTTCATGAAAAACTTTACAGCATATTCATCTGAGTGCTTCATGTGCCTAATGTTAATAATAAAACTGGAGAACTGGATCTGATGTTTATACTGTAGTGAGGTTGGAAGGAAATAATGGTTTTAGAATTTTTTTAATATTTTGTTAATGGACTGAAGACAACAACCTTTAAGTACCTGGTTGTTGGATGTGAAGTTCTTACATGCAGTGGTTGTATACAGTATCTAGTCTCCATGGGTGAATATACTGCTACTATTTAGAATTGTGTGGTAAAATAGGACAAGTTAATGTGTCAATGCGGACTAGATTATCAATATTTGCAGTAGTTCTTGTAGTAGTAATAGCAGTCTTAGTTGCAAGGTCGTAAAGGTAGTAGTAGATGTAGTTGCAGCAGTAGTAGTAGAAGTAGTTGTAGTAACAGTAGTAGTAGCAGTAGTAGAATTAGTAGCAGTAGTACTGTATATTCTGGACTATAAATTGCTCCAAAATATAAGTCGTACGAGAGCCCACTAGCAGCTGTCGGTGTGAAAATAACAAACGTGAAATTAGATATTTTAATACACAAGTCGCACATGAATATAAGTCGCAAGTATATAGAGTATATAGTCCGGAAAATACGGTAATTGTACAACAACATTCACGTCAATAATAAAACATAAAAAAACCCCCATTCATTTAAGTTACTGTATAATTCCCAGAGTTAAACCACTACAAAGGCGGTCATAAAGAACCTGTCGGCAGGACACTTGGTGAAGCTTTATGACGCCACCCTGACGCTCTACTGTCAGACAATTACTGCAGCCCTACAGCCCTTAGTCATCTTTTATATTAACTGTGAATTGAGGCATTTTCTTTCCCTTAATAAACTACTTTAAATCATTTTAATGTCTCATAAATTATATAAACTTGAATTATTGTTGATGAGCCATTTTAAAAGACGGTTAGATCAGATGACACTCTACTCTGTTTGTTTACAGCTGTTTCTCTCTGAATATAAAGCATTGCAGCGGCCACATCTACAGGCTGTGGAGTGACTCATTAGAGGGAACATGTGTTACTCACTCCAGCTGATCAGCACTACAGTACATCAGTACCAAGTTAGCATGGACCCATGGTAGATATACTGTATGTCTGCATGGTGCCCACATCTTCATTTGATTTGAATCATTCTGTCCCTAACAGCAGTGTGAAGAATCCCCCCGCTGTAATATCACCACTATCAACGGCTCATAATCAAAATATCATTTCAGCAAATTGCACATTAATGGAGGTGAATGAAAATAGTTAACATTCTGTAGCCCTTTTAAATAATGCCTATCATAACAACCCCCAGTCTGTTTGGGAAAAAATTGAATTATAAAACAAAGTTATGATTTTATGACTCAATGATCTGATGTCAGAGATGACCCATCTTTCACACCCCAAAAATGATGGTGACAAAACCTTTAAAACCTTTACTTTTAAACATTGCATTAAGGTTAATTAATTACTCTTTAACTTAAATAACACTATCTAATTATCATTATCTAAGTATCTAACTAGTATTAGATCCTATGACATTTATATATATATTATACATCCATATTTAGATATTATGTACATATATTAGATTATAAGTATTTGTTTGCTCTCACTGCTGCCTTCTGAAGACAGAATGCTGCATGTTTTCGGTTCAAAAACAGTGTATCCCTCTGCCTGAAGAAAGTTGAAAGCAAAAATGGGTCATGTTTGGGATAAGTGGTGCTATATTTGTCAAAAGAATCCAAGGATTGCAGCCCATCATGTCTGGAGCTCCAAGTTTTCTTTCTGACCTGATAATTGCTTCCTGGTCGCGGTTTTCAGAGAGAATTTACAGAGTTGATGGTCAACCAGCCACAGCTGTAGCTGTCACAGCAGGTAAAATGAATGATTCGCAAAATCATAATAAAAAATATTATATTAATTAACAAAAACAGTAGGGGCAGATACTGTATCTAACTCTGTAGGCTGTTCATTTTCGAATTTGATTTTTTTACATTACACAGTCATATGTATTTTACATGATGACTAATCCCATCACCATCTTATCTCTGGATTTAATTATGACTGAAATGCCAAACCCTTTGCATTTTTTTGCATTTACACCAAGCCAGAGGAAATAGCAGATACAATTTTTATTTTTTGGTGATATCTGTTTGTCCACAAAAAGGTCTCTTGCTTTTCCTGGTCCCTGATAAGAAAAGGTTTTTCTGACAGAACATCTGCTGGTGACCTCACAGGCTACGCAGAGATTGAACAAAGCCCAGCCAGACTGAAATTGCACAATTTGAAAAACAGAACCAGAGTACATTTTACAAGCAATCTTCATCTCTGGCCACTGCCACTCTGGTTTGTTTACCTTTCTATTCCTGGTGTTATTTACAA